TGGATGACATAGATATCAAAATGGTTTACAAATTATGTAAGTACATCTAGTAGGTTATACTTCATTAGTTCCATGTTTACAGTTGTGATATCGTGAGATGTTATATTGTGACTTTATTTTAGGCCTGTGTAAGGCGGTAATTAATTCTTTATGTTATTGTCATTAAGTGGGTAATGAGTCACAAAACAAATAATCAAAACATTTCAGAGGTGGGGCGCCAAAAGTGCCCACGGGCGATGAGAATCCTTGTTACGCCACTGGACCCACTGTTGTATTTTCAAATAAATTGATTTCTCAAAAGCTTAAATTAGGTAGGTCCGTTACATAACGTGAGGTTCGGCAAAATAAATCAAACTAATGACGTCATCGACTGAACTCGAAGTAAGATGCACATGAAAACGATCTTTATATCAGAAATACACTTTGCATAGTTGCTTTATACTCTGGATTGTCGTCTTTAAAGGATTTGTGAATTAATCAGACTGGCTCTATTCCCTCAAGACTTATTTCCAAACGGATTCACTGAAGATTATTTTCCATAGCTCAGGCTACTTAGTTGAATCCGTAACTACATGACCTACTCACAGCAACTAGCGCTGTGCACGTGGCTGTTCATTTCCATTCAAACATAAGGAAGCCTAACCTCGAGATATCACCTGACCAACTATTGAAGAACACTGCTGTCTAGATTCTGGCACAATATTATAGCCAATCTCACCATGGGAGAACAGGTGTTACCTCAATAAAATGACAAAGGCAACTAGAACGAAATCAACTTAACATTTTTTACCACACGAATTCAGTTTCTCAGAGATTCAGTAATAAATATCAAGTTGAACCTTCTCTTATGAAGAGAACTGTCCCATTGCTTTATGGCTAATTCAGTTTTACTTTAAAAGATACCACAAACTGGATAGGAAATAGCAAATTTTGATGCCATGACCAGAATATCTTATTATGCAGTTTGCGGTTTTCTGCTGAAATCTGAAGTTCGCTTTACTTCTTATATGATACAAGTTTAAAAATGCTTCCCCGTTACGTAAGTGGGGTTTCCCACAACTAGAAGGAAGACTTCGTAACTGAAAGGAAGTCGTTGTCCAAGAGTTTTTGGACCCAGAAGAAGTTATTTTCTGGACATCAGACATTTGCTGATTAAGTGAAAGTCTACGACTTAACTTTTATTTGTATTATTTTGGCTGATTTCCAACTGATTTTATGATTAAAATTTCTTACGTGTAGAAAAATAGCTTACTTGTTTTACCATTTTTAACATCCTTTTTACGTTCTGCAAGTCTTATTTCAAAATATCTTGTTTCACCAACATAGGTTTTCTGCAAGATTAGCAGGGAACCATATGGATGCCCTGCTCTTTATTTTGAGTTGAAGATTTTTTTTTGGAGGGTGAGAAAATGGTGTTGAGATATAAACAACTTTGAAATTGTTATTTTTCAGGTATTCCTCTAAACCTATAACATTAGAATTGTAGATGACATAAAGTATTTTATATTTTCACATGCAGATGATGCTATTTGCTGGTTACTGTTGTACTAAAAAAAAAAAAGGTTTCCTTGATAAAGTCTATAGGGTAATGTAACTGTTCAAAAATGTTATAAAAATTTTTGATTTATTCTTTCAAAATGTTAATGTTATAACTGAAGTTTTAACAGTTTTATGGTTTCACGAGAAAACATGAACATAGGTTAAAGGGTTTGTTGATTTTCTATAGATAAAATGAACAGCCCTTGTTTCTGCTCTCGTTATGAGAATGTTTAAAAATGGAAGCAAATTATTGGCTTCCCATTCAATAGTGCTTTAATCTTCTGGTAAAAGGCTTTAAAATAATTTTTATTATTTGACCAAATAGAAAATATGTCATCAAATATATCAGAATCAGAGGGTTTCCTTTGTGTTCAGATCTACTGTATAAAATAATTTGTTTTCAAAATACTTCATGAAAATGTCACATCGAATTGGGGATAAAGGGTTGCCCATATCTTTATCTGTAATATTGTCCTGTGCATGTGAATACACTATCTTTAACATGTACTTCCACTAAGGAGATAAAAGTGTAAACCAGAAATGGAAGCAAAATGTTAAGTTCCAACAATTTGCTTCTTTGTGAGATTTGCAAGCCTGAAAAAGTAACCACTAAAACCATAAATCTAATCCACTGATACAGTCTAGAAGTAAAAAGCTAATATTGTGTAAATTACTTTTGATACATAAAAATGCAAAAGCTGTTGAGAAAAAAAAAACCTTGCCAGTGTGACATCTCATAAACAAAATGCAGCTAAAATGCACACTTATCAAATGTGTACAAAATGTTAAAGGCTGTTAAAATTCGAATGCTTCTAGACACCTGCTGTTAAACTACAGTTTTGTCATATAGTTTGTCCCTGAAGAAGAAAGGTCCACCTTTTGAAAGCACTCAGGATATAAGGTATTGTATCTTTGTTTTTTCACACTTTATATTTTATTTTATGAATGTGAAACCTGCAAAAACTATAGGCATTCTGGTAAACAAAAATTATAGCAAAAAAGTTGGAAACATTTTAAATAAAGATTACATTTATTGTCAATATCATACAAACATATAGATCATGGTATTTAGTTTGCACAAGTTCAGTTGAACTTTCATCTGCTTGGCACAAGTACTACATTATATCCTAAGGTCCACAACAACTTAATTATTAGACCACTACACTTCACTATAAAAATGACTATCAAAATATAACTCTAAACCTAATCTTGGTTAAATGGCTTTTTGACAAAACAAATTATATTCTTCCACAGAATGGCCAAACTACAATAAATACTGCAAAAACAAAAATTTCAGACTTAATTCAAGCAAAATATTTGAATTATTTATGCATTTTGTTTTTTACCTGCATAAAAATAATAGAACCTATCTTTTACATAAAAAAACAGACACTTAGGTGTTTTAAATCATGTGATATGTTTCAAAGTGTGTACATGATCATTTTCAAGTTTTTTTCTCCCCACCCACTCCTGGCCAATCAATGTCAAAGTCTAAATCGTCTAAGTTATCATCTCCTGTATTAAAAATTCCTTTTCTAAATCTTGTATTTTGGCTTCCATTACACTTAAAGGACTTCATACTACTACTACAAGGATGCATCAACTTTTCTGTTGATTTGGAATCACTTATGTCTGTTTGTTTACTCACAAAAGCAAATTTCTTCAATTTATGCAAAGTACTGAATGATGAATTTGTTGATATATTTGATACAGATGATTGCTTGCATAGAGACTTTGCTGTAGAACTAGGAACAGAATCTCTATTTTTGTTATTCTGGTAATCAGAAACAGACATGGAACATACACCATGTTCACTAATATGATCATCTTTTAATGTAGAATTCTGTAAAACAGAGTTCAGAACCAGAGGTTTATTATTTTGATTTTGTTTATTTTTCAATGTCTGTTCAACATTATTACTTTGTGTTAAGTCTTTCATTGTTAACGTTGTATTAGAAATGGGATCAGAAGTTGTAACATTAGATTCTTCTTTTCCTTTTTTACTTTTTGGAATAAACCTGAAATTCTTAAGTGTTTCAAGAATACTAAAAGAGGGTGCATTTTCTGATTCTAAGGTTCTTGAGTCACCAGCAAAATTTGGACTATTTTGTTCTTGCATATTTACAGTTTCTTTTGGGAACACTTTCTTAACCCTTGTTGAAATCCTGTCACACACTGAATAACATTTGCTTGGTGTACTACTTTGATGGTTGCTAGCATCTTGTACAGACTTGTTATAATCACATATGTTGTTTTGATTATTTATTTCAGGATTGAGTATAATTTTATCAGAAATCTGATTACCACTAGGTGTATCTGCACTTTCAATGGCATTGATTTTTCTTTTTTTCTTTGGGTTTGATTTTTCATCAACCATATCTAGTTCAATCTCTGGGTCAACAGTTTTTTTACTTTCATGGTTACATGAAATTTCCTCAGCAGTGTTATCTTTACAAATACCCTTTAAACAATTTTTTACAGCTGGTTTTATTGTGTTAGGATCATTTAAATTTTTGCCAGATAAAGCTGTAGTTTTTAGAGAAAACTCTGGTTGGACCAAAGTCTGTTGGGGTGAATTATTACTTTTTTCTATACTTCTTAAGTTCTTTTTGGATGATTCTGGTGTATTTAGAGTTTGTTGGGACAAAGGATGGTTATTCTTTATACAAGTTGTGTTTTTATACGATGATTTGACATCAGACAAAACTGTAGTCTCTCTAGAAAACTTTGATTGGACCCATTTTTGTTTGAATGAAGAATAATTTTTATCTATACAATTTCTTTGACTATTAGATGAATGTTTCTGAGACTGAGTTGTAATCTTTGGATAAGACTGTGGTAGAACCAAGTTTTGTTGGGATAAATGATGAGTGTTATCTCTTTTCTTACCACTAGATGAATACAAAACAGAAATGTTTGAATGATCATTATTTCCATTAAAGTTGTCTTGATCTGAAGGTGGTTTATGGGGAAAAGTTTTGGAGTCCTTTGAAATTTCATCTTTTTTTTGTAGCTCTTGCTCTTTATTAATCTTTATCATCTCCTGCTCCAAGATATCCTGCAAGCCAAGCCTCTGAAGTATGAGTTCAGCTAATAAGAGAAATAATAGCAATTATAATTAGAATATGTAAATACATTTTTCAAGGAACATGCAATGATAGGTGAAAACTAAGCCTTATGTATGTGAATTTTTTAATTCCCTATTTGAGGTTTTTATCATTTTTATTTCTATTGCATGTTTTGGTCTCTTAGATGACAGTCGTCTATAGTTAGCACTTATTGCTGTTGTTACTCAAATTGTAAATATCAAATCATTGACTCTAAGCATAAATATAAATTTAAAACTGCAACACTATAGAGTATCTGATTTTACACAAAACTCCAATATTTCCATGAAATTATTTAAAACTTCAACCTAAAGTTGTCATATACTATTTAAAATCCAAACACTGATGTGAACAACTGATATATATATATATACATGCACAGTTTAAAAGTTCATTGTATGAGTCAAAGCAGTAAAAATTCACCTTGGACCTTGTATTCAGAATCAGGGTTGTTTGGAAAGGCAGTATGTAGTGCATTCACCCCTTGAATCAAAGCTGACCCTTGCATTGAAGACTCCACAAGGGACACAGCAACCACAGCATCTTGGACACCAACTTCCTTCCTAAACATTAATCTGGCATGAGCTGGAAAATTAATTAAAGTTGAAAAACATAAAGAAAATACTTTTGTAAAAATAACAGGAATAAGGACTATTACAACTAAAAAAGCATAGTAGTAAAATGTATCAAAATTACTATAATATGTTATTACACAGTTTACTGCTGTTCAGTTAACACATTACAACAGATTAAGTACTACTGCTGCTACCATAGAAGTGTAGTAGTACAAAATATCATACATGAAACTTTACAAGAGAATAATCACCACAATTAATTTAATAACACTGATATAACAGTCTATCTATAATAAAAATTAGCTTAAATTCATTGCACAAGAGCCAAAATTACTAAATTATTGTTTGAAGTCAGTTTTAAATTAGTCCTGAAGAAAGGTGTCTCTTACTAAACATTGTTTGAAGAAAGTTGTTTCCCACAAACCTTTGTGTGATAGTTTTCTCTATATGTTGTAAATCAAAGCTCAATTTTATAGTGTTGAGTTTAGCACTTCAGGCAATTATGCCTAAGTAAAATGTATCTATATGGGGTACATCATAATTTCCCACAGAACAAGAATTATTACACAATTTTAAACAAGTACTTATTTTACATACATTGAATTTAATATTAGAAACTATCAGTACTTTTTTAAATATTGATATTATATATTACCAATATGAAATAAGATTTATATCTTACAAGAATTTACAGGAAACATACCTTGTGCCAATCGAACCAAACTTTCCAGAAGCCGTATAGTTGTTCGAGCAACATTTCTCAGATCTGTGTTTCGTTGGCACTGATAGTATCGAGTTAGAATCCTGGTGAAAAATCAATTTGTTAATGACAAATCAAATGTTAATATTATTCATATGCTTCACTAAATATCTTGACAATTCTCAATGTTTTTTATATATTTAGTCCTTATTGAATTGATTAAAATATAGTGTTAAATGGATTGCATACAAATTATTTTGTACATTGCATTAAATAGCAAAAGAATGAAGTAAGTTTATTTATACCAATTAAACACTAATTTTTATGACAGTAATCTTCCAGAAGATTAACCTGCAATTAGAATAATAATCTGAATAATCTCATGGTTGCAAGACCAATCTGTATTGCCTTAAGTTGATACACTAATCTGAATAACTCCAAAAAACTAATCTGAAAGACCATAATTTCAAATACTAATACCAAATGAAACACTTTAAATATGATTTATCAAAAGTATAAAAAAACAACATACACTTAGTTTTCCTCCCATTTTGTTAAAACTGTAATTGCGAGAATTAGAAAGACCTTTTTTTAACTGCATATATAAATTATATATATATATATATATATATAAT